GGTCAGGAGAGGTCTGCCACGCCATGTGGATCTCCTCGGGGCAGGCGGGGATCGAACTCATGTGGAAGTGGCTTTAGCTTCTCAGTGCTGTGCTTTAACCCGCTGCGCTACCAGGGAGGGCCCGAGTATGTTATTTTAAGAGGTGTCAAGGCAGAGAATTGGAGAGGTTTTGAGTTGGACACCTTCTTGTGATATCCAAATTTCTTTAAAGTTTTTAAATTATGAAAAATTAGAAGTTTGGATTCTTGGAAAATCTGGCTTTTGTGAATTTATAGTAATTTAATTCTGGCTTTTTGTGACTTTATAACAGTACACAAGTTTTTTTTATACGTCAGTACATATGAGAATAGCCTCATGTCTTCATTTTATAATAAGGAAATTAAAATATAGGCAAGAGACATGATTGTTCAAGACCACTTAGGTAAACTAGTGGTGGTGTCTCCTGACTTAGTTCAGCAAGCAGTTCAGCATATCTTCTTCATTACATTTACTAGTCTTATTCAGAAGAGGGAAATTGGGTTTGAATTTTTCTCTTGGTTATGGTATAAGTTGGGACAGTGAGTTGAAAGTAAAGGAGAGGCTTTCCTGTAGAGATTTTTATTAGATTATGCAAATGCTGGGAATCTTTGCCTCTGTAGAGTCACAAAGTTAAAAGAGTAGTAAAACAACTGTAATGCAGCTTTTTTAAATCCTAATTTTTAGTATACTAATTTAAAGATTTTGGAGCTTAGTGCATGATTTTCAAATTGGGATATCAGTTTTTTGTTTTTTAAGCAAAGCTCAATTTTTTTAGTGCTTGGAAAAGCAGAGTGCTCTATAGATAATATGTATTCAAATATTCGGTCACTGAATCTTATAAGGAAAATGTCTCAACAATCAAAAAATTAATGAATATCTGGATTAAGTATATTTCAACTATTTGGAACAGTTTGCTTAAAGTTTTATAGTATGTATTTGTCATTGGGACTTTAGGAATGTTAACTTGAATTTATATACACTTTTAATTTCACCCTTTACAAAATAGTTTTGTTGGGCTAATTGGAAACTTTATCTTAACATGATACCTTAGATGGCCAGGATTCCACTTTGTCACAGTGGCACACAATAATATCATTGGATTGAATCAAATATATATACACACACATATATATCTGAATGAAGTGTTTCTGTGAAAGAGTATTTTCAGTATGGATTATATAATGTTAGCTTGGTGCTTGAGATTTTTCTAAACATAAAGGTTGAGTAGCTGAAAATTGTCTCTCAAACGCTCTGTTCCAGAAGTTAACGGTAGGAAGTTATGAGCACGGATGCAGGTGGTAGTACTGGCTTGACTTGCTCAGGAAATGAAATTTAGCCACAGGGCATATCTTTCTAGGTGGCTTCAAAGTCATGGTTCAGTGTTAACTACTCTGTGGTCTTTAATTTACAACTAAGTAAAACTAACAGTAAAGCAAAAACAATTAAACCATTTTTATCACATCTGAGAGAAGTTAGTCTTTTGTCTTTAAAGTGAAGCCAATCAGGTATTATAGGCATCAAAGAAAACAACAAAACTCCAAAACAAATAACTATAACTATCCTTACCCTTTATATGCAGAGAAATCCTTGATATGTAAAATTGAAACTGCTGGGTTTTCTCTTCTGAATATTGTTCATCCATTTGCTTAAGTCTAATAATACTGAAATATATATCCCTGGTGTTACATGTCATCTTGATTTAAGCCAGAGCAAGTTATGACCAAAAGGTCGTGGTTTGTGTGTGTGTGTGTGTGGGGGGGGTTATTTTTTGTATTTAGCATTTGCGCATTCATTGTATAAGAATGCTATCACTTTTATAGTGATTCTTGCCTCTGTAGTGGTATCTTTGAAGACAAATGTGTTCGTTTCAATGTTTCTTTTAATTCTGAGATTTTGAATAAAAACGTTCAAACCCCTTATTCCAGTCTTTTCAATTAAGGTATATTCTTTAGTATAAAATGAAAGACTTAATAATGAACTGATCAAGACTCATTTTGAAGCCATATTTTATAACACTAACAACTGAATTTCTGCTGCCAAGTTTTGTTTTTTTTTAATAATTCAGGACTTTAGACATATAGAGTTTTACAATTATCACCACAATTTAGTTTTAGAACATTTCCATCACCTTAAAAAATTTGGGGGGGGGTCTATTTATCATCAGTGCCACCCCTAACCTTAGGCAAAAGTGGTCTACCTCTTTGAAATTTACCTTTGCTGGACATCCTGTATTAAAGGAGTTATATAAAGTGTGACCTTTTTTTTTGACACTATTCAATTAATGTAATATATAGCTTCTTTGACTTAACATCTGTTATAGCATGTATCAGTGCTTTGTTATTTTTTTAAGGACAAATAATATTTCATTGTACTGGTCAACTATTTTTTTTTATCAGTATACTAATTGGCATTTTGATTTATTTCCATTTTTTGGCTATTGTGAATAATGGTGCTGTGAACATTTATGCTCATATTTTTGTGGAACATATGTTTGCGTTTTTCTTGGGTAGATATCTGGGATTAGATTTGCTGCATCATATGGTAAGTCTATATTTAATTTTTTAAGACACTACCAAATTGTTTTCCAAAGTGGTTATACCATTTTACATACCAACCAGTAATGTATGAAAATTTCATTCTCTGCATCTTTGTCAAAATTATTATTTGTTTGTGTGTGTGTTTTGCATCGAAGCCAGAGCTGAGGGATGGGAGGGTAAGAGCTCATCAGAGACAGAGTGGGGAGCAGAACTGGCAGATCTACTTAAATACACTGCTAAGGGGACCAGTGGGCAAGACTGGAGAGGTCTGCTGTGCCATTTGTGGGTTAGCTCCCTGGCCTATATGGTGATAGTGGAGACCTTTTAACCCTTAGGCCACCAGGGAGGCCTTATTTTTGTCTTTTTGATCATAATCATCCTTGTGCAAATGAAGTAGTAAGTCACTGTTTTCATTTCCCTAATTGCTAGTGACTTTGAAGATCTTTTTGTGTGCTTATTGGCTGTGTGTATATCCACTTTGAAGGAAAAACCTATTCAGAACCTAATCCAATTAAATTTTTGTATTATTTATCTTTTTATTACTAAATTGTAGAAGTTCTTTATATATTTTTATGTTTTGGATTTTTTCCCCCTACTTTTTGGCTAATGTCATTTGAAGTTCAAAAGTTTTAAATTTTGAATAAGTCTAATTCTTTTTTTCTTTAGTCATATATGCTTTGGTGATGTGCCTTAAGAAATGTTGCCTTCACCAAATCATAAAGGGTTATTTGAAGGAGTTTTATAGTTTCGGTGCTTACATTTATGTCTGTGATCCATTTTGAGTTAATTTTTGTGTGGCGTGAAGCTGGGGCCCAAACTAATTTTTTCTCAAATAGATATAATTGTCCTAGTACCATTTAAAAAAATTAATTTGGGCCCCCTTTTTGGTGGTTCAGCAGGTTAAAGCACAGCATTATGGAGCTCTCTGCAGCCATTGAAGCACAAGTTCGATCCCTAGCCAGGGAGGTGACCCATATGGACTGGCAACCTCTCCTAACCTGCCCCCTGCTCCGCTTAGCAGTGTATTTCAGTAGATCTCCCTGTTTTGTCTCAGTTTATCACTTCCTCTCTGAATCGTATCGCCCTCTGCACCTTTGGCCTGTACCCCAGTCCTGTATGCATAAATAAATCAATCTTTTTTAAAAAAAAAATAGATGTACTGGGATATAGTCCAGAGGCCAGCACCATATTTGAATGACTTTTTTTCCCATTGAATTTTCTTGGTCAATCTTTGTGAAAAATCAGTTAACTCAAAATGTAAGGATTTATTTTTGTGCTCTCAATTTTATTTTATTGGTGTCCATATTTTCATGATGTCGTTATAGTGCATTTTGAAATCATGAGGTGCCCAAACATCTTCTTTTTCAAATTGTTTTGGCTATTTTAGGTTCCTAGCACTTCTCTAAGAACTTTAGTATCAGCTTGTCAATTTCTACAAGTAAGGAATATGGGATTTTGAGAGGATTGAGTTGAATATGTATTTGCTTAGTATTGCCATCTTAATGTTAAGTTGTTTGACCCATTAACATGGGATGCAAGTTATTAAGGCATTCTTTAAATGCTTTTGGCATTGTTTTTTAGCTTTCAGTGTACAGGTTTTTCACTTTTGTTAGAGATTTTTGAAGTATTCTCATTAATGTTGTTGTGAATGGAGTTACCTTAATTTCTATTCCAGTTGTTCATTTCTAGTGTACAGAGGTTAATTAGTTTTTTATTAATTTATACTGTGGTCAGAATAAATGTTAAGCCATCACGACTCAACAAATTTGAAGATATTGCTTAATTATTTTGCCTTTATCCACATTGTGGAGTGGTTGTGGTTGTTTACCTTAGGCTTGTTTAGGTTGTACTTACAGAAGACTTAGTGCATTATGCTAATCTGTATGGCAGAAATATATCTGAATAGTGTTTTGTGAAAAGTACATTTTATGGAACTAATTAACTCACTTAGAACATAGTGCCTTAAGTTTCATAATGCACTCATGTATTTTAATAGATGCAATTTTTGAAGGAAAATTCACCTGGTTTATAGATTATTGATAAGTAGCATCTGTAACTTAGTTTTCATATAAAATGAAAGTGAAATCCCCATATAATTTTTTGTGAATCTTATTTTGCTCACTACCATATTTGCCTATTATAAAAGTATTGAGAATTTTAAAAATAGTTTATTTCATTCATGCATCCTTCTTCGGTAATGGGATGAAGCATTAAACCTTTTATGTTTATGAGATTACTTATTTTTAAAATTTTAATATATTTTTCAGGGTCAGTTAAATGAAAGCATGGACCATGGGGGAGTTGGACCATATGAACTGTAAGTTGATTTGAAAAGATTTCCTTGTGCTATCGTACTTACAAGTTGGTTGTATCAGTTTTAGTTCATAGTCACTATATGAGTCTAATAACCAGTTCTGAAATTTATCCAGTCATATTTGTAAAGTTTTTTTTTTTTCATTTTGGCATGAATATAATAACATATCTAGACCTTTGGGTTCTTACGGATTTTGAGAAAAAGATACTTAAATCCATAAAGAATATATATATATATTTTACTGTAAAAGAAAATGTTTAGAAATGTTCTGAAGAGCTAAAGTCTTCTTGTTTCTCTTATAATACATCATTTAAACAGAGATTTGTACAATCTTATGTCATTTTAGGTATGCTCCTTTAGGTGAGTATGGTGATTAATCTGTTTTCTACCCCAACCCTAAGTAAAAATCCTTGGGTTGTAGAGAGACTTCAAGAAGATTACTCTTATAGAAAGTACTCAGATGGCAAAATATTACCACCCTTCTTGGACTCTTGTAATCAAGTTAATAGCAGATATGAAAAGATGCATGGATAAATTTTATTAGCTAGGTTTTTTTTATAACATAAAGATGCACTAATTGGTAGTGTTTAAAGTGCCTGGATTTTCTGCTGAAGTTGCCAAATGAGGTTGGATAATACCTAATCTCATAGACATTTTGAATGCTCGAAATTTGGATAACTAGAATACTTTTTCTGTTGTCTATTTAATAAACTTATTCTAATTTACCTTATTTTGTTCTTGATGCTTATGAAAATAATCTAGGATATATTTTGTAAATAAACAGATAAGCAAACAGTTATCAAGCCACCCTAATCTTAACCTATTATGAATTGCTAGTTTACTTAGAGCACAAATACTAAATTTACTATCCCCTTTGCCCTTCCCCCATTTTCTCTCTCTCTCTAATTGGATTACATCCTTGCTCTAACACTATGCTTGAAGGTAATTTAACTTTTTGCAAATTTACTTTTGGTTTTGCTTTTCTTCCCCAGTGGCATGGAACATTGTGAAAAATTTGAAATCTCAGAAACTAGTGTGAACAGAGGGCCAGAAAAAATCAGACCAGAATGTTTTGAGCTACTTCGGGTACTTGGTAAAGGGGGCTATGGAAAGGTAGGAAGTGTTTTTGAATTGAGAGCTGTTGTCTGTCTTGGGTAGATTGATTTTTATACCCTGGTTCCAGCTGTACTTTTTTTTTCTTTTGCTAACTACTAGCAAAGGATATGAATGCTTGCCTGGTATTATATGGAAATTCTTCTTTTTCCTACCATCATTCATATAAAAGCCTGGCACATAGTAGGCACTCCGTGAAAATTTATTGGATAAATAGCCGTGAAAATTTATTGGATAAATAGCCAGCTGTGCCGTGCAGACTGTTATTAGAGGATTCGTTCTTTCCTTTGGTTAAATGGTATTTTCTATCGGTATTCTTTTAAATAGCAAGCCATTCCTTAATTTTAAGAAGCATGCACATTATATTATCTGTTCCTGGAACCTTAACCTGAATATGTTTTCTTGGATTTGCACTATCAATCTAGAGCAATAGAGTTAGGGAAACGGAAGAATGTAAGTGGGGAGAAGAAAAATAAAAATTTCTTAGTTTCATATTTGCCTAAGACTTTCTAAATTAAGACTTCACCTTTGCATGTTCTTCCCAAGAAAGTTTATACTTAGCTATTCTCTGTTAAAAGATGTAATTTGGATAATGTGTTAGGATTAACTTTGAAAACCATTTATGCTGTTTTGTAGTATTAATTTTTGTAAAGCATGACATTTATAGTTTATTCTTAGGCTTAAGAACACATTCTAATATGTTCTAATCATCCTAAAAGTGTAACACAAGCACTGTGAGTCTCACTTAATGTTTCATTAAAACATTAAATGAAAATGTTTTATACTTAGCCTGTTTTGGGGAATAGGTAAACAGTAATTCCTGTCAACTATTCTTAAATAGTTTTATGTGAAGCCATAGCAGTGGCATCCCTGGAAGAAATTTATAAATATTTTATAATTTTTAAGTTTGGTATTACGTTTCTGGGAATCTTGATTATAGCTGTTTCTAAGCAAAACTGAATTTTTTTTTTGCATAAAGTATGTATTCATCATTAGTCACTACCCAGCTTTGTCTCCAAATGTCAGCATACCAAATATTCCCATGTCAGTAGCAGATTTCACTACCAAACCTATCATAGATAGCCAGTTCTTTTAGCTCATCATTTTTGTATATAGTCCTTTGTGATACTGAAATATAGATAGAAATTATGGGAATGTGACTAACATAGTTTAGCTTTTAATAACACACAAATACTTTTTATTTTTTATCTAGGTTTTTCAAGTACGAAAAGTTACAGGAGCAAATACTGGGAAAATATTTGCCATGAAGGTGCTTAAAAAGGTGATTTGTTCATTCCTCCTCCTCCTTTACTCTACCTCCCACCTATAGTTTTAATTGGCATAAAATCCACATTTCTGCTTAAAATTATCAGTCCAAACAAAAAGATTTTCCTGACATAATTATAAGTTCTCATAGCATGTGAAATTTGCTTCAGTGTTGTTAATCCTGTTTTTTTCTGCTTGGAGAGGGTAGAAAGCTTTTTCAGTTTTCTGAGTTAACGCTTAGCTCTTTGTTTGGATATTCGTATTTATAAGTAGTAAGCTTATTTTTTGTATGTTGCTCTTGCTTAAAGTTCAGCAGTTTTAGAATTATGTATTGACTCCCTATTTTACTCTCATTTATTTGGTCCTCCCTTTGTTTTGTTTTATTTGAATTTACTCTTTGCATTCCTTCCAACAACTTTGTGAAAACACGTTTTAGGCCATTGTTTTGTGGGCATACTTATTAGACAATAATCTATCAGTTCCATTTATTTTCATAGAAACATTCCATAAGAAGAACCTTCTGTCCTCTTCCAGTCAATACTGGTATATCTGTAGGCATAGCTGTCATTGTTGGACTTTCCCTTTACCACAGTCTTTAGAATCCTCTTGTGTCTTTTGTTTCATGGATCCCATAGATTCCTTTTTCTTAGTTACTCCCTTGACCTTTTATTTTGGTTAGCATCTTCTAGTAGATTTTTAAGAAAGAGTGCTTGAAGGTAAAATTATTTTTAATATTTCACATTTCTGAAAATTTCCTAATACTTTTTAAATTTTTCAGGTATGATTTAAAGTTGAAAATCATTTTCACTCAAGATTTTGATACATTTTCATTTAACTTTGAGTGATACTTTTGGGAAGTTCCTTTCCATTCTTATTTCCAACCCTATGTAGATCTTTCTTTTTTTTGTGTGTGATTTTTAAAAAATTTATAATAGTTTATTTTTACATCATTTTGTGCATTTTTCCATCTCAGTTGTAATCCCTTTGGGCTTACCATCACCAGATCACCTATGTGCCATCACCAAAGTCCAGTGTGTTTTTCCCCACTGTTTTTGATTCCATTCCCCACTCTACCCCCATAAATTGTCTCTGGTATATAACTGTTCATTGTTATTATTATTTTCTTGCCTGGTCCGTTATACTCCTGCTATGAGTGAAACCATTCGGAATTTTTCCTTTTCTTTCTGGCTTATTTCACTAAGCATGATCTTTTCCAGCTCCATCCATGTTGCTGCAAAAGGCATGAGTTTATCTTTTTTTTGCTTAGTAATATTCCATTGTATATATGTACCACATCTTTTTGATCCAGTCACCCACTTTTGGGCATTTGGGCTGTTTCCATGTCTTTCCAATTGTAAATAATGCAGCAATAAACATGGGGGTGCATAGATCTTTCTTTTAATATACTTAAGACTTTATTTCTGATCTTTTTATTTTTATAGTGACATGTCTGCTTTGATTCTTACTGTTACATTTATTTTGCTCTTTTAATTTTAAAATTGTCAGTCCTTCATCACTGGGAAATTTTCTTGGAGGATTTCTTTGATAATTTCCTTCTCTTTTTCTTGTCTTACACCTATACTTGTATGTTGGGCTTGCTAAATTGACCATTTATTTTTCCTACCTTTTCCATATATTTTTCATTTTGCTTTCTGTGAGTCTTCTAAAATTGTATTTTCTTATCCTTTCACTGATTTTTTTTTTAGCATATTCATGCTCCTTTTTGTTTTTTTCTTTTTATGGTAGCCTTATGACTGTAGTATCTTCTGTTATTCCTCTAGTATCTTAATTATAATTCTGTTTTTTTTTTTTTAAAGATTTTATTTGTGTATACAAGAACTGAGATATTGGCCAGAGTTGCAGGGAGTCAGGGTGGGGAGTATGAGGATTCATCAGAGACAAAGGAGAACAGAACAGGCAGATTGACTGAAATACACTGCTGAGGGGAAGCAGTGGGCAAAACAGGAGAGGTCTACTATATTGTGTGGGTTAGTTTCCTGGCCAGGGATCAAATTTCTGCTGTGGTGGCTGTGGATTGCTTCCTAGTATTGAGACTTAACCGCTTGTATCATCGCAGTGGCCCCTTAATTATAATTCTTTTAAATGTTCTTTTGTTCCATGCATTGTTTCTCTTTTCTGAGTTCTTATTTTCTTTGACTTTGATTTAGTCTCTTTCTTTCATGTCACCAGCATTCTTTTAATGGCCGGTATCCTTCATTGATTATTCATAGTGGAGTAGAACTCTGATCAGATGTTCTGTGTGTGTAGGCTTGTAGTGCTTCACATAGTTAGCTGGCAGTTGACCGAAAACCTCCAGATACCAGTGCCTCTAAGTGTTCTGGTATGAATCGGTTCATCCTACAAAGATTCTCTGTTCTTTTTGCTTTAATAAAGTTTCCTGGAGCGGATGAACAGAAGAAGTAGAAATTTCATCTTTTAACTTGCAGGCTTTGACTAAAATCAGGTTTTTACTTTATTATTTCATTTTGTATCTGATCTATGACACTTTTTTTCTTTTTTTCCCCAGGAGAGCATAATAACCCCTTGTGCCATCAGGGAGGCCCCTACTGGTGATAATCTTAAAGAAGCAATTTGGGTTTATATCTGCTGTCTGACTTTCCCATTGGATTCATTTAAAATTAATTTTTTTTTTTTAAATCTATGAAACATGTCGAGTATAGAATTGGGGTTATAATGTTCTAGAAACTTTAAAGGAAATTCAAGATTGTTAAACTCATCCATTTCTTTTGGCTTATTACTTATTTTTGCCTGGTAATAAGGGCTAACTATAATTACTTAGAATACAATCATATATCAAGTGATTGTATGTTAAAGTTTATGGCATAGGTACCTTTCATGAAAAGAAGAAGGTATCGTGTTTTTTTCTCACAGACGGAGGATATTTTAAGAAATTTTTACTCAGTGTCAGGCATCCTTTTTGGGCCCCAGGCATTTAAGATACAATTTGCTTACCATTCCTTTTTCTTACTTACCACTTGCTCCTACTTTCAGTGTTTTTCTTTCCCCATACCTAAAGAAAATCAAGAACTGTCTCATTCTTTTCTTCTTGTCTCTGAAAAAAAAAATCACAGCAAAAATAATGAGGAGGTTTTTATAGTTAAATCTAGATTTTAATTCCTAGATAGCTAAGTTAGATACCTGTATGTTCCCTTTAAGTGTCTTCAAATTTTTTATTCTGGAAACAAGAGTATTAACTTCCCTCACCTGAGTATGTGCTAAGAATATACATCTTCCCACCTAGAACATGAAATAAGAGTAGAATTAAATATCTTCTTGCATCTGTACCTTCAGTCTGGTTTTATCAGTTTTTCTGGGATTGTTTGCTCCTTGTGGGATTGCTCCCATTTGGGTATTTGCCCATGATGCAGATTAAGGAGGAGACTCAATTCCAGTAACTATCTCTTTACCGGTTGCAACAAAAATGAATTTTTTTTAAAGTCCTTTTTTTTTTAAAAAAAAAAAGAAGACTTATGCACACAGAACTGGGTACAGGCCAGAGGTGCAGGGGCAGTGAGAGGATTCACCAAAGACAGAGTGGGGACTAGAATAGGCATATTGACGAAGTACACTGCTGAGGGGAGCAACAGGCCAGACAGGAGAAGTCTAGTTGCACCATGTGGGTCTCCTCCCTTGGCTGCCCCAGGGATTTAACTTAAGTGGCTGCAGCTAGCTTAGTAGTGCTGCACTTTAACCTGTTGTGCCACCAGGGAGGGCCCACAACAAAAATGTATTTTGAAAGCAAAATATCATTACTTGTGGCTTTAGTTCAATCTGTCTCTCTGAATTTTATCACCTGTGACCAAAGGCTTGTGATTTACAAATTGACTGTGCATAATCTTGGTTTGCTTGTTTTTTTGAACCTACTCTCTGGGTATTGTGCTAAGTACTAGGATTTAATACTGGAGACAAAGTCTCAATAAGCAGAAATAAGCTTCTGCTTATTGTGTGATTTAAGGGAATATCTCATGTGCTTATTCTTATGTTGCTTATTCACCTTGTAGTTGGAAACCTTTCTGTTTGATGCTAAATCTATACTATTTCCCTTTTCATCTGCTATCTCTTGGTTATGATTCAGTCATTTTACCCTCCGTCCCCATTCTCAAGTCTCATCTTGGATTTCTTCTCTGTTCATGTCTTAAATCAGTTGTAGCCTGACCTTCTAATTTTTTGTGGTCCTACTAGCTTTTACTCCATTCCACTGTACCAGCGACAGTGTTTGTGTTCTCTACCTCTGAAATACTGAGTTTTAATAGAACAATAACGTTTCACTCATTTCTTCACACAGTGTTTTATCTTTGGCCCTAAGTTGTTTAGTACTTCACCTTTATGTTTTCCTTAAGTTCTTAGCTTCCCTCTTATTTTGCTTTATTCCAAATCCAGCCTAATCAGCATGACGTGCCACTTCAGTCACTTGCTAGCCATTGACCTAAGGTCTACAGATATTCTGATTTGTATGTTTGTTATTGCTCCTTCATTCCTAGATCTCATATAGTGAGCTGTATTCACAGAAATACAGGCATGTACGTTGTTGCTAGAACAAATTCATAGTCCCCCACCTTACTTGGAATCTCCAGTATTCACTAGCCATTTCCTACATGTCTGTAGATAACTTCTTCCATTCTCTGTAGCTGTCTGGAGCCTTTACATCTTTACTTTCTTTATGTTTTTTTAAAGATTTATTTATTTATGCATACAGAACTGGGGTACAGGCCAGAGGTGTAGGAGTGGTGAAAGGATTCACCAGAGAGACAGAGTGGGGAGCAGACCAGGCAGATCGATGAAGTACACTGCTGAGGGGAGCAGTGGGTGAAGCAGGAGATGTCTGCTATGCAATGTAGATTACCTTCTTGGCCAGGAATCAAACTTGCATTGAGGCGCTGAGGCTAGCTTGCAGTTCTTTGTCCTAACCCATTGCACCACCAGGGAGGGCCTGGAGCCTTAACTTTTAGGCCCTACATTCTTTTTGGTAGACTGACTTTCTTCCTATATGAGGCTGTCAGATGTAATTGCAATTGCCTATTATAATCCCTACCTAGAATACCATGTTCATCTTCATTTTCATTAGTCTTTGCTACCTTTCTTCAGTGTTAGTAGAAGATTTATTCCTTCTCCTTTTCTTTTTAAGATCTATTCATTTACAGATACAGAACTGGGGTACAGGCCAGAGGTGAAGGGGATGGTGAGAGGTGTCACCAGAGACAGAGTGAGGAGCAAAACAGGCAGATTGACTGAAATACACTGCTGAGGGGAGCAGCGGGCAGGTCAAGAGAGGTCTGCCATGCCTTGTGGGTCAACTTTGGGGCCAGGGTTCAAACTCTTGCTGAATAGGCTGTGGCTAGCTTCTTAGTGCTGAGCTTTAACCCATTGAACCACCAGGAGGGCCTCCTTCTCCTTTTCAAGGCTAAGCTCTTTATGTTTTAGATCTCATCCTTTTCTGTCTGTTCAGGTCTTTCCTCTGTCATGTCTCTTTTTTTTCCCAATCTCCTGACATTTTTCTTTTATGATTTAATGTGTGATTTTTTTTTCTTATTACACAAATATTAATCACCCAGAGTCATAGCCTGACTCCCTTTATTTAAACATAATCATGTCTTTACCATACTTAGCAAAACAAACTCTTCCTTCACTCAAGCTCTTAGTCTTTCATAGCTGAATTTCTTTATGAGTCATGTTTTATTCTTCTTTTCACTCTATTTTATTGAAACTAATTAAGTTACCTGAGTGCCACCAATCTCCTACTTGCTGAATCCAATGACCTTTACTTCATTCATACTTAATTTACTTCTCTTTTGCATTGATGTTATTGACAGTAGTATTTTGAAACTATACCCTTAACTTCTATAATCCTACTTTATTTTCTTTTCATCTTTCACTTCTCAGGCTTGCTCACAGTTACTTATTCAAAAATTCAGACCCCCATGAAATCATTTGTTTTGGAAATTTTTCACACTTTCCAAAGAATTGTAAGAATTGTATAGTGATAGTTGTTAAGTTTGCCATATTTTATTTGTCTATCTCTACCCTCCCTTTTTCCTATGTGTATATTCTATTTCTGTATATGTGTGTATATCCTTTTTTCCTCCTTCTTTGTTGTGAAATTTGACAAATATAGATGTGGCCCTAAATTGTTTAGTAATAAAAGGCATTTTTATACCTAACCACAATGTACTTATTACACTTGGGAAATTTGACATTGATGTACATGTAATACTATTTTCTGATACACACCTTTGGCTCAATAATATCCTTTAATATTTGTTTTGGTTTTTAATATATAGATTTAATAATTAAGGATCACATGTTGAAATCAGTTTTCCTATCTCTTTACTTTTCTTTACTCCAGAGCCATTTCCTGATCTTTTTTGTCTTTCATGATACTGGCATTTTTTGAAGAGCCCAGGCCAGTAGTTATATGGAGTATCACTTAGGTTGGATATATTTCTTTGTTTTTTTCCTAAAAAAACTTAAATTTCAAATTTAGCTTAAATACTTTTTTTTTTAAAAAAAAGATTTATTTATTCATACAGAACTGGGGTTCAGGCCAGAGATGCGGAGGGTGAGAGGCTTCACCAGGGACAGAGTGGGGAGCAGAACAGGCAGATCGAGGAAGTACACTGCTGAGGGGAGCAGCAGGTGGGTCAGGAGAGGTCTGCCACACCATGTGGATCTCCTCCGGGGCAGGCGGGAATCGAACTCATGTGGAAGCTTAAGTGGCTTAAACTTCTTAGTGGTGTGCTTTCACCCGCTGCGCCACCAGGGAGGGCCCTAGGTTAAATACTTTTTTTTTAAAGAGCTATTTATGTATGTATACAAGAATTGGATTACATGCTAGAAGTGGTGGTTGGGGGGTGAGATGATTCACCAGAGACAGAATGGGGAACAGAATAGGCGATTGACTAAAATACACTGCTGAGGGGAGCAGTGGGTGAGACAGGAGAGGTCTGCTGCGCCATGTGGGTCACCTCCCTGGTGGGGAATTGAACTTCCACTGAAGCAGCTGAGGCTAGCTTCATACATAGCATTGTGCTCCAACCCATTGCGCCACCAGGGTGAGCCCTGTTTCAAGAATTCTTTGCAGTTTTTTTTCTGCTTATGTATATGTTGCTAAGAGTGTGCAGTATAAAGTTACTTAAATACCATTTTTTTCTTGTGGTAAAATAATATTCAATTAATCTTACGAATTGATGTAATACTTCATTTTGTTTTTGGAATGTGTAAAACGTGAACAAGATTCGGAATTTGAAATATCTGCTTTAATATTTTATATAGATAGAGAGAGAAATGAATGATAAAACCACTATGGTTTTACTAAGAAGGTAAATTCAAAGGTGCTATTCCTGGGCCCTCCTGGTGGCAGAATGGGTTACGCACAACACTGAAGCTCGCTGAAGGCGCTTCAGTGTGAGTTCGATCCCTGGCCCTGGAGGTGACCCACATAGCATAGCAGACCTCTTCTGTCTCATCCATAGCTCCTCTCAGCTGTGTATTTCATTGATCTACTTATTCTGCTTCCCCCACTGTCTCTGGTGAGTCCTCTCACCACACCTGCACCTCTGGCCTATACCTATGTTCTGTACACATAAATAAATGAATCTTAAAAAAAAAATGTTTCATTCCTTTTCATACCTTTTCACTGTCATTACCTTTTGGTTTCTTGGTTGTGTTAATTATTGCAGGTATAAGCAAATACAAATAGATATTCTTATTTTTCCTTTCTACAAAAAAGGTAGTATAGTATGTATACTATGCTTTATATACTCTTTCATATCTTGATTTCATAGTTGTTCCTTAATCTTTTTATAGTGTTTTCCATTGTGTAGATAGACTGTCCCAATGTGTAGATACTCTTTGAGTTTTCAGTCTGTATCCTGTGCATGTGGCAGCTGATAGCTTGACAGGGCTGAGATTTAACCCCTGTGCCACCAGGGAGGTCCCTTCAGGTTGTTTCTAATACTTCAGTCTTACAAATAATATAACTAAAAACCTTGTGTATGTACTTTATTCATTTTATTAGATATGACAGAACTTTATAGAACTTAGATGTAACATGTCAAAACTGTATTTATTTTCCCAAAACTTTTTTCTTTGCTTTCATCCCCTGTTACTGAATGGCATCACTTCCTGCCTTATTACTTAGGCAGAAACCATCATTCTCATATCTAGTCAGCCAGCACTAATGATTAACTTTTACCCTTTATTTTTTTTTTTTTTTTAGTTACAGGTTTTAATTCGTTTTCCTTCTTGTTTGTTTACTGTACTAAATTTCTGACTGGTCTCATACTTTTCCTAAAATGCCATACTGCTGTTAGAATTGTCTTTCTTAAAGCCAAAGGTTTTCCACTTCCCATATTACAGCATTTCTCTGTTTCTAAGATAAAATTAAAATGCCTTTGACTGGATGCTCAGGTCTTTCATTACCTGGTGTACTTCAGCATTACCTAACTCCAGGCATGTTGTATCTTGTCAAGCCTCTTTCCCGCTAGGAATGCTTTTTATGTACATTTCATTAATAACCTTATGTTATAAGTTCCAGGAAGACTTCTTGCCATTTCATATTCACTTCCCCTGTTGTTCATATATAGCACCTCATGACTTACCTCTCTTCTGTGAGACTTCAGACTCCTACAGACTGGAGATGCCTTCTAGTTTTACTTTCTTGGCAATAGTTAGTGGATATTTGAGTAAAAATGATCTGTTTACAGACTTAAAAAAAAAATCTTTATGTGTTCATATACATCCAAACAAGACAGATGTATAGAAGAAGCGAGTATCTTTTGTTACCCATCTCAGTCTTAACTGGAAAGTATGATAATAGGTTAATGTTGGCAAGAAAAGCACAACATAGATTTTCCAGTTACTATAGATTTAAAATGTCTACTATTTTGTTCTTATAGATCATCTCTTTTCCTTTAGGCAATGATAGTAAGAAATGCTAAAGATACAGCTCATACAAAAGCAGAGCGGAATATTCTCGAGGAAGTAAAGCATCCCTTCATTGTGGATTTAATTTATGCCTTTCAGACCGGTGGAAAACTCTACCTCATCCTTGAGTATCTCAGTGGTTAGTACACACATTTTGGTGTAATTATTTGCATTTGCTCTATAATTGGGCCAAAAAATTATTTTCCAACAGAAAAATACTTTTCCCAATGTGCTATAATAGTTCCTAAGACTGACAGATTACATTAACATAAAGAATTCAGATGTGACCAATGTTTCTTTTGCAGACAAATAGGTAGAAAAGTTTAAAGATTATTATTTTTCCATGTGTAAAATTTTAATCACTTTGTGATCAACTATTTAGTAAATAACAAATATACCAAATATGGAGCTATCAAATTGACCACTTGGGTAAGCTGCTTGGCTGCTTGAATTAATGATTCAAGTAAATCATTAATACATTGGAAAACTGAAAGTATTATTTTAAGATATTGGGTGTTTTTGAAATTGCATCTTTAAACAAAAGAGGTTTTGGTTTGAAGTAGCCTTATTAATAAATTATGCAAGTTACATGGGAAATCAGATACATTTTCCCAGGACTTATTGCCTAGGAATATATATATACTTCACCATGTTGTTTGTTGATCACAGGTATCACTTTCCAACAAAAACAGAAAAACAGATTTCATAATAGCCTGTAAAATGAAGCAGAAAACTAGGTTTTGTTAACTTTTTGTGGTTTGCCATTTTTTTCTTGTAACTTTGTTTTGACATGATTTACACAAAAAAGTTGCAAGAAAAGTACCAAAAATTCTCATGGACCCTTCACTTATTTTTCACAAATATTAGTTTACCATAATTGTTTGTTTCATATTCGTGTCTATACATAGACGTATAGACATACAAGTATATTATATATATATACATATATATATATATATGTATATATATAAACTTTACCCCTGAACTATTTTAAAAGACTTATTTATTAATGCATTTAAGAACTGGAGTACAGGCCAGAGGTGCATGGGGGTAAGAGGGTTTATCAGAGACGGTGGGGAGCAGAACAGGCAGATTGACTAAAACACACTACTGAGGGGAGCTGTAGGCTGGTAAGGAGAGAGGTCTGCCATACCCTGTGGTTCATTACCCCTGGCTGGGATGAAAACTCTGCTGCAGTGACTGCAGTTAGCTTCATAGTGCTGTGTTTTAACTGTTGAGGGCCCTTTTCCTGAACTATTTAATGGATGTCCCAGACTTAATTTCCCTTTGCCCCTAAGTACTGAGTACTTCTGTGTATATTTTCTAAAATTAACAATAGTTATCTTACATAACTAGACTAAAATAAAAAAATAGGAAATTAACATTGATATAATAGCTCTCCTTGATTTCCTTTAATCTGAAACAGTGTTTCAGTTTTTCTTTCTCTTTCATGACCATAGCATTGTAAAGAATATGGGCTAATTGTTTTTAGAATGCATCAATTTGGGATCATCTGATGTTTCATCAGGTTATATATTTTGGGGAGGACTATTGAAGTGACATTGTATCATTCTCTGTACCAGATGAGAATGTACATGAGGTATCTTTGTCCCTTTACTGTTGATGCTAAACATGCATAAGGTGGTTATCTGCTAGTTTTCTCCCCTGGTAAACTTTTCCCTTTGTAATCTTGAGATACTTTGGTTAAAATTATTTAAACAACTCATCTCTTCATCAGACTTTCACAATACAGTTTTAGCATCCATTGATTCTTGCCTGAAGCAGTTAACTGATAGTTGCCAAGTGATTTTATTCCATCACCCATCCTTCATGTAGTAGTTGGCATTCTACTATAATGAAGAGCTTTCCCTTCTCCGCCAGTTAAAAAATTATTTATTCTTTGACTTACATCATTGTGGACTCATGAAATCTAAGATTATTCAGTGAGATATAACCCTTTATACCCTTTTTGGTATTTATTTTGATATTCAAATTGTTCCATATTTTTTACAAGGCCATTGTCAGGTTCATCTAAGTGTTCTAAAAATGTGGAATATGGGTATTCACTAATATGCAAGGGTAGTTTAATTGTATACTAGCCTTTTCCTATTTAGAGAAGCTTTAATCAAGATTCCTTTTTCACCTCAGGCCTGGAATGTCCAGATATTTTTGAGTTTATAGAGGTAAAGCCTAGAGTTCCAAAACTTAAATATTTTAACCTAAGAATAAAACATCACTAGAAATAGAATCCTGGAGTTTTAGTTTTAAAACCTATAATTTTTAAGATCTGTTTTTTATTTTTAAGAGACTGATGTCTTTAATTATGGTTAAAAGGAAAGCATAACCCTCTCATTAGAATGGATTGGGAATAAAGATTGTTTTATTTCTAATGTCTTTTTCTTTTCCTTACAGGAGGAGAACTATTTATGCAGTTAGAAAGAGAGGGAATATTTATGGAAGACACAGCCTGGTAAGTGAAATTTTTGTGGTTGCATGGATTGAGGTAATGATTCATATAATTAAAAGCAAAGCCCTGTTCCTACTGTGGGCAGCCAAATGACTCAATAAATTATTCTGGAGCCAGTCAGTCACTCAGGACTTCAAGGGGGAGAAGTAGTTTGGGGTCTGGGCAGCTATTGGAGGTCACATCATTCCTTTGCCCCCAGGCCTTGGGTGGACCGCTCTTCACGCCAGTTCCTTACAGAACCATTCTCATTGGGGCTTTCTTTCCTTGAATTGGTAAGCTGTTTGCCTTGGCTATGGGTGAGTGTGGTTTTCCAGTGAAATTTTATGTGTGGAACAATGGAAAGTATCAGAAATCATTTCCTTTGTTTTTAGACTTTCCAGTTCCCAAGGTGCAGCCTTAGGGAGGTGATAAACCTGCACAAATCATCCATGGATTGATTCAATGGCCAGGATGGGATCTACCCTCCTATTTCTTAAGATGGCATCTGCTTGAAATTACGATTAAATTCACATCCTTTTGTAAAGTGACAGTATTGGGTAACAGTAAATTAGTTTATCCTACACATTAATTGAATAGAAAACACTTGAATGTTTTTTCTACCTTAATTACCAAACTGCATTCCATTGTTTGATTTCAGGCCTTTTCTAACACAGAAGCTGCATTTAAGAGCCTTAGGGATGAAGTGCTCTTTTTTGGAGGAGGCTCTCTGAGCCATGTTGGAGGCTGTGTTTGTGGTGGTGCTGGCTGTGAAACTGCCTCAGTCCTCTAGGACACACCCTCTCCATCCTGGAGTAATCTGCAGGATTGCAACATTGTTATGCAGCCAATATTGCAGTGCCTTGTGCTTTTCGAATCCAGACAGGGTTGACTCAGCCCTTTATTCTTTTGAGGTAGATAAATTTGAGTGTCACACAGTTTATAGTTGTGGGCTGGCTGGCAAGAGGGAGGGCAGATACTGTGGGCATGAGCTGTATATAAATATGCAGCTGTATTAAGTAATGGGCTTCTAAGGGTCAGGATATAAGGTGTCTTTTGAAAATTAGACTTGATCTTTGAGAATAACAAAGCTCTTGTTTCTTACGGGATTTTAAAATTGGGGGTGAGTGGGAAAAAATTGTTTTGATCTGAATGACTATTGGTCTAATTCCTACACCAACAGAACAAAACATAATCAGTGACAGTTTGGCACATTTTGTACTTCCTTGCAACTTTAGCAGTTTGTTCTAGTGATGAAATAAAACATTATCTTGTTTCACTAAAATGAATGGAACATAAATGTTTCCATGCCTTTTGGCAGCATCTTATTACATCTCTTTCCCCCATATCCACCCTCAACCCCACTAATTTGGTCTTTGCTGCATGTCTGTTTATTTCAAGGAATTTTGCTCCATACATAAATGCTTTTGAGTAGATTAATCTTTTTAATTTTATTAAATCACTTTTATTTCCAGCTTTTACTTGGCAGAAATCTCCATGGCTTTGGGGCATTTACATCAAAAGGGGATCATCTACAGAGACCTGAAACCGGAGAATATCATGCTTAATCACCAAGGTGGAGATATACTGTAAACAATTCTATAGTAAATAATCGTCAGGGTCATTTTCAAAGCCCCACACTCATGTGTCTTTTATTATACTTAGAAATTATGATATCGTTACACTTCTGAAATTGAATTATTTAGGGCCTTATAGTTGGTGAAATTAAGGGGAGTTGAGGAAAACTTGACACTGAATTATCTTTTTGTTTAATTCCTGCTCTTCATAGCTTACCATCCTTTTGCAATCCTTATATTAAGTGTGCAAGCTAGAACCCAGTCCAAACACTGAATCTAAATTACAAAATGAATCTTTATGAATTGAGAGTTTTCTTTAATGAGGAAACTACACAAATATCAGAAACAATACTTTTTATGTTAAATTTTATTAATGCTGTAAAAAATGAGAGAAATAGAATTGGACCAAAATATTTGATGTTGCTTTGAAAAATAAAATGCTTAGTACACCTCATTTTATTCTTGTTCTTTGTTCACAGCAAGAAACATAAAAATCAGACAGATATTCTGTATAGCTATAGGTATATCAAAGCCAGCCTTTTTTACAACTGCATGCTGCTATAGACAGTTTAGTGTACTTGATAATAACCTGGGTTCACTAGACTTGGTAGTTGACTCATACCCAAAAAGAACAACCAGCCAAATATGGTATCTAAGGGGCTGGTAGCAGGTGGTGATCCTTAGATATTCAAAAAATTAATGTAGGAGGTAGTTGATGTTTTTTAATACTTAGAAATGGTTTGTGGACAACTGATGCCGGAATGATTTCAAATTGTGTTTTTTTTCCCCCTTTCTTTTTCCTTAGGAGAAATGCTATATTTAAGAACTTTACTCTCCTTCCAGTTCTGTCCCATCCTGGATTCTGAAATAAATTCTAAGGCAAACAATAGAATAGGAAAGTAACTAGTTAATGTCTTCAGTCCATAACCTTGAGTGCATCAGTATATAGGACACATTTAAAGTGACTCAATATTTCATTGCCTTTTCTTGGTAATAAACCTGTAATAGTTAAGGTCCCTACATTGTAGAACTATCAGATATTTAGTGACTTCAGTAAAACTAAACTTGAACTGAAATTTTTTTTTGTAAATTGGTGAGTTTTTCATTGTTTGGATCAGAGATAATGATTTCTCTTTCTCGCTCTTTTTTTTTTAGACAATTTGTTTCTCCTCAACTAGTAGCATTGGTAAAATAAGTTGACTTTATAGTGACTTTCTGAGACAATTTTAAGAACTGTCAGGTGATAGTATACTGTGATAAAGCTACATATTTGAAGTATAATGTGATGTACAGTACCTTTGTTTAAAGATGTCGAATATTTTTGGGTCTGAGTACTTAAATTGGGTTTCATCAAGAAGTTTTCCCAGATCTTAGTATCTCAGGATGATAAAATGTTCTAGTTACAGGTAAAGCTGAAACCTTAGCTAAACTTTTCTATTTTTTTCGCACTATTTCCTTTCATTAGATAGATTATATTAATGACAAAAGTTGGTTCTGACCTGACCTTAAGTAGTTAGTGTCCCTTTTTATGGATGGGACCTCTGCTAGCTTTAGATATCTTCAAAAAACTAAGGCAGAAAAATTTCCTTAGAGAGAATTATTGTTTAGTAAATTATGACAAAACACTGCTTAGAAATCTCAGAATAACCATACTGTAATTTTTTATTGTAGGTCATGTGAAACTAACAGACTTTGGACTATGCAAAGAATCTATTCATGATGGAACAGTCACACACACATTTTGTGGAACAATAGAATACATGTGAGCTGCATGTTGAAAGAAATATAACTGGTTGGGGGTAATAGCTAACTTTTATCTGGTTTAAGTAATAGTGTGCTTAATTTCCTCTAGCATCTTTTGGCTTTATATTGTTTACAAAATTCTAATTCAGATGAAAGGCAAATGGGTGAATTTTAAGATGTATTTTTTTTTCCTCTTTGTAGGGCCCCTGAAATTTTGATGAGAAGTGGGCACAATCGAGCTGTTGATTGGTGGAGTTTGGGAGCATTAATGTATGACATGCTGACTGGAGCAGTAGGTGCACAGTTAAAAGCTGCATGTATTTGTTCTGTGTTGAGTACTTACTAAACCACTATAGCCAGAGACCTTCCCTGTGTTTTTAAAAAAGGTTATACCATGTAGCTATTTTTGGAAATGTAACATTAATTAATCTGTATTAGTAACATAGGCCTCCATACTTTTAAAAACATTTCATTTAAACATCCATGTCATGATAGTCCTGTAAAATGCATGTAAAATTATAAATGGAGAAACAGCTTAAAATTACATGGTCAGCAACTCTTCTCTCTGCTTACCTTTGACTGACACTATGTCTCTCTTTTTCTCTTATACACCTGTCCTTTTTAAATGTAAATAATAACAGTAATAAAAAATAAGTTTACATGTTCAACGTATTATCAGTTAGAAAGTTAATGGTGGGAACCTAGATCCATTTAGGACATTACAGTTTCTCCTGTCCCGTTGTGTCTTTTGACATTCACCCCACTTCACAGCATACATTGCTGATCTCTGCATTACTAATTCAGGAAATGGATAATTCTGTTATTTAAAATTTGATTTTTATATGCTAATTGTTCTCACTTTCTTCTACATTTAGCCCCCATTCACAGGGGAGAATAGAAAGAAAACAATTGACAAAATCCTCAAATGTAAACTCAATTTGCCTCCCTACCTCACACAAGAAGCCAGAGATCTGCTTAAAAAGGTAGGGTTCTTAAAAAAGGCATTGAAACTATAAGTCAAATAGATAGAATTTGAGATATATTTTGAATAAAGAATCATAAATATGAACAAAAAGAGCACAGTACAAATTTGTCTAAAGATTTTCTTTTTTTGTTCCCAAACAATATCAAGGAGTAATAAATAAATCATATTTTCTCAGGGCAAAGTAGATAAAAGCACATTCTATAATGCAAAATTATCAGTTTGACTAAGTAAGATTCATTGGTGGTTTGTTTTTTTTTCTCCCCTCCTTAAAGCTGCTGAAAAGAAATGCTGCTTCCCGTCTTGGAGCTGGCCCTGGGGATGCTGGAGAGGTTCAAGTAGGGATTGGCATGTTTGGTGATTTGAAGGGATTACTTTACATGTTTATGAAAGTTGTATTTAACTGTTTATAAGTATAGCTTATTTTGTGATTAGTGACTTCAGACAGGGAGTTAATTTGTCAATCCTGTAAAGTGTGCTTTTCACTTCTTTTTGTAGGCTCATCCATTTTTCAGACATATTAACTGGGAAGAACTGCTGGCTCGAAAGGTGGAGCCCCCCTTTAAGCCTCTGTTGGTATGTATACATCAAAGCATATACAGCTTAGACAGTCAGAAATATTAATTGTAAAACTTTGATCTATTTTCTGAAAAGTTACTCTGTACAACATTTTTAGAAACTAATGCAGTAATTCATGACTGTATTAACTATTTTTAAGTTGGTTGTCTATATGATATCTAAATAGTTGAAGTAGTTGGGACTTTAGATTTTTATTTATATATTTGCTTTGTTTTGTTTTTCTTAGAATTTAACCTTATTGGCAGGATTGATTCTTTCTGAAGCCTATGAGAGAAACCGTTCATTGTCTCTCCACGCTTCTAGTTTTCTGGCAGTCTTTGGCATTTTTTTATTTATAGATATATCACCTGAGCTCTGCTTTCATGTTTATGTAACATATTCCTTGTGTGTAGATTTGTGTCCAGATTCCACCCTCCACCTTTTAAAAAATAATTTATGCATACAAGAAGGGGTAAAGGCCAGAGGAGTGTGGGGAAGTGGGGTGGTGGTGGTGGTGGAGGGGTATGTGTGACCATTCACAAGACTGGGGAACAGAACAGGCAGGTTGACTGAAGTATACTGGGGTCACCACCCTGGCTGGGGAGCAAACTCATGCTGTAGTGGCTGCAGATAGCTTCATAGTGCTGTGATTTAATCCCTTCTGCCACCAGGGAGGGCCAATTTTTCCCTTTTTATAGGGATATCAGTAAAAATGGATTAAGATCCCTCCCTACTCCACTGTGATCTCACCTTGACATTGCAGTGACCCACATTGCACATACAGTCACATTCTGAAGTACTGGAGGTTAAAACCTCAACATGTCATCAAGGGCAATGGGGAAACAATTGAAACCATAATATGTTTGAGTAAACTAGTGTGTCAGTTCTTGTCTTTCTCCCACCATAAAATTTGAGAAAATACCAGTTTTTTTTTTTTCCTCTTATGGGTATTAAGGTGGAGTAGAGGGAAATGGATAATGGTGGTGATTATTTGGTTTTTAGAGAACAAGCTGACTTGCTTTAAAAATTCACCATCTGGGCCCTCCCTGGTGGCACAGTGGGTTAAAGCACAGCTCTCAGCAGCAAAAAGCCACTTCAGCGTGAGTTCAATCCCCATCCCCGGAGGTGACCACATGATGCGGCAGACCTCTCCTGACCCTCCCGCTGCTCCCCTCAGCAGTGTACTTCATCAGTTGTACACTGTTCTGCTCCCCACTCTGTCTCTGGTGAATCAATCCTTTGACCACCCCTGCACCTCTGGCCTGCACCCCAGTTCTGTATGCATAGATAAATAAATCTTTAAAAAAAATTCACTATCTTATTGTAAGGAGGATAATTAGCTCTTATGTACCATTGCCCAGATTCAGTAATTATCAGTCATTTCATTTAAATAATAAACGTTAACTACCATACTATCACCACAAATAACTAACTGACAGTTTGCCAAATGTTTCTTTTTTACTATTGGTTTGTTTATAAGGATTCAGTCAGGTTTTGTACAGTTGGTTACTATATATTGTTAAGTTTCTTTCCATTTTTAGATGTTCCCTCTCAGTTTCTTCCCTGGCATATTTAGATACTTGATCTGATTCAGATTAAACTGGGGATGTTGTGTGTTGTAATTGGGAAGCATAATGTATGGTTGTATTTCCTTTTTTGATACTGTGATCATTGATCTTTGCTTATGTCAGTGTTTCTCAATGAAGGTAGATTTGGCAGTGTCTGGAGATAAGTTGTCACAATTAGAGGAGATGCTATTTGTATAGAGGTTCAGAGATGCTGCTAAACAGATTATAATATATAGGACTGCCTCCTACAACAAGGATTATGAGGCAAATATGTCAGTAGTACTGAGATTGAGAAACTTGCCTGGTTTTATGATTTCATTAGGAGGTTGCACAGTTGTGTTATTCTAATATAGTTATTGTTTATTAGCTGGAATCCTTCCATAAAAAGACACTTATATCACTTGTTTGGATACAAGAGATATATATAGTTAAACAGGAAAGCAGAAAAGATACTTGTTTCTTTCAGTTTTAAGAATTTATTTCATAGTATCTTCTAAAATTGACCAGTAAATTTTGATTATTTAAATTCAGGCCTTTTTAATATATTTGCTTCAATCCATTGTAGTTATTTTTATTGATGTTCAGTTATTTACCATCTTTGGACACTTATTGCTGTTCAGTTATCTACCATCTTTGGGTGCTTTTCATGTTTGTATCCAGAATCTGTTGACATGACCGTGTAGTCTGATGTCCCAGAGAGAAGGAAATAAAGCAACAAACTTGGTAGTTAGATCTAGTTGATAATATTCTTTCATAAGAAAATATACTTATGTAGAAGAGAATATTTTTATTCCTTAAGAAATCTGAAGGAATGAAATGAGCTAGAAGAGAGATTTTTAACAGATGGTGTACAAATGTGTTTTCAATTTGTACTGTGCTTCAATTGGTTTTCAGGTTCATTACAAACCTGCAACAGTTGACTGATAAATCAGGATTTAACTAGTAGACGATAGGCACATGGAAGCTTTGTGAGCAGGAATAGTCAAATTTTTAATTTTTAATGGGAATGGTAATCTATTAAGATATCTCGGTACATTTAAAATTTGAGAAAGAGTGGGGAGCAGAACAGGAAGATGTTATGAAATACACTACTGAGGGGAGCAATAGGCAAGACAGGAGAGGTCTGCTGAGCCACGTGGGTCACCTCCCTGGCTGGGGATTGAATTTGAGGGTGAAATTTGACCTTGGATACTTTCTACCTACTGTGCCTCGTAAGACTAGTTTATGAAAAGAACTCTATTTAGAGTCACCTCTTTTGATGTAAAACATTTGATATGTCTAATATAAACTGGTCCTCATTTTCTGATAATTTGCTTTTTTAAAGCAATCTGAAGAGGATGTGAGTCAGTTTGATTCAAAGTTTACACGTCAGACACCTGTTGACAGCCCAGATGACTCAACTCTCAGTGAAAGTGCCAACCAGGTCTTTCTGGTAAGTAAAAGAATTTCCATGTATCCATGAGAAATTAAGTATGAGAATGTTCCTTCCAATAAGAAAATTCAGTTTGTGGGCCCTCCCTGGTGGTGCAGCGGGTTAAAGCGCAGCACTGCAAAGCTAGCTACAGCCGCTTCATCACACTTCATCATGGAGCCAAGATGGTGACCCACATGGCGAGGCGGACCTCTCTTGACCCACCCACTGCTATCTTCAGCAGTGTATTTCGGTCAGTCTGCCTGTTCTGTTCCCACGCTGTCTCTGGTGAACCCTCTCACTGCCCTTGCACCTCTGGCCTGTACCCCAGTTCTGTATGCATAAAGAAATATATCTTAAAAAAAGAAAATTCAAAAAAAAAAAAAAAGAAAATTCAGTTTGTGTTTCATGTAGCTAACCTAAGGTTTTGTTTGTTTGTTTTAAAACATTTATTTTTTTGATGCATATAAGAACTGGGGTATAGGCCAGAGAGGTGGGGGTGAGAGGATTCACTAGAGACGGTGGGGAGCAGGGCAGGCAGATCCACTGAAATACACTGTTGAGATTGGTTGGCTCGTTGGTTGTTTTTTTGGAAACTATCCCTTATAACTTACAGATACCTAGAAATTGCTATTACAATTAGGGATCTTCAAAGTGTTCCTTACTCATTAAGAAAATATCCAATCTCGGCCTCCCTGCTGGCTCAGGGGTTAAAGACAACATTGCCGGGGTGTTGCCAGCACTGCAGCATGAGTTCAGTTCCTGGTCAGGGAGATGACCCACGTGGCTCAGCAGACCTCTCCTGTCTCACCCGCTGCTCCCCTCAGCAGTGTATTTCACAACATCTACCTGTTCTGCTCCCCGTTCTGTCTCTGGTGAGTCTGCTCACCCTGCTGTACTTCTGGCCTGTACCTCAGTTCTTGTATGCGTAAATAAATCTTTAAAAGAAAAATCCAGAAAGAGCAAATATAGAATTCTGTTTTCATTGGCTTAATATAAATGAGAAACTTTTGGAAGTTGTCATTTTAGTTGCTGATATGCATGTGACTTGAAACACTAGGATTTCTTTGGTTTTATCTTGGTATTTAACATCTTAATATCACAGGTACATTTTCCTATTTGTTGTACTCATTGATAGAGTAGAATTTTGTTGGCAATTGGGGCTCAATAGAGTTCAGCTTTATTGAGGTAGCTGCCTTGAAAAAGGTTCACAGGTGTAAAATGAGATCGAGGAGATGGGAGGCTATACAAATTGGAAATTTTAGGTGTCTGTTGTTGTGTTGGTGTTTCAGAGACTTAAACAAGTCATTGTTAATTCTAATATCTATGACAAAATGCTGTTCTGTATTCCACTGTTAACTCTCTTTCAGGGTTTTACATATGTGGCTCCATCTGTACTTGAAAGTGTGAAAGAAAAGTTTTCCTTTGAACCAAAAATTAGATCACCTCGAAGATTTATTGGCAGCCCACGAACACCTGTCAGGTATTTTGGACTTTGTTATTCTTTTTTTTTTTAATCGAGAAGAGTATTGCTTAAGAAATTTATTCCAAGTTATTTGATTGGCATGAACACATCAGCTATGCTTTGTTATATTTTCAGGTGGCTAGCCTGTGACTAAACTGTGATGTTATGTAGTTTAGCTTTCCTTCCTCCTGAAAATAAGCTGATTTCCTCTTTTTCCATTTATTACAACATTTATTGCATACTGTGCTGTATGCTGGGGACACATGGTTAACACAGGAACTTTCCTTTTCCTGATATGTCTTCATTTAGTGGGAATCACAATAAACAAAGAAGAAAAGGCAAAATAATATAATTACAAGTATTTCCAAGTGTTATATGTAAAAGAATTAAGAGTATATTGGTAGAGAACAAAGAATAATGAGGGCTCCTATTCATGGTGGTCAGAGAAAGGCCTCTGTTGAAGTAACATGTAAGAATGAAGAGTGCTAGCTAGACTTACCAAAATTGAAGTAAAAGGGTATTACGTGTAGAAGATCGGCCTCCTGTGGAAAAGTCCTAAGGGCAGAAAAAATGTGGCCTTTTCTTAGAAACCAAAAAGAACGTTCCTGGAATGTGGTGAGGAAAAGACTGGCAAAGGTTTGGCGAAATATTTTTTTGTAAACACAGTGGAAAACTGTTTTAAGGATGTAATAAAATAATAATTAAAAAAAAATTGAGGATTTTATGGAGGCAAGTACAGTGGTAAAGAGATTAGGAAACTCCAGCAATTAGTCTAGGGAAGAGGTGGCTTTATCTTTTGCCTTTGCTAATCCTACACCAAATTATAATTAAATGAATATAAATGTCCTACTTTTTCTTCTCCTTTTAATGAAATTTTTCTTGTTGAGATAACCCTTGAGACAAATGAATGATAACTCTTCTTGTTTTAAAGTCCAGTCAAATTTTCTCCTGGGGATTTCTGGGGAAGAGGTGCTTCAGCCAGCACGGCCAATCCTCAGACACCTGTGGAATACCCAATGGAAACAAGTGGAATAGAGCAGATGGATGTGACAATGAGTGGGGAAGCTTCAGCACCACTTCCAATACGACAGCCAAACTCTGGGCCATACAAAAAGCAAGCTTTTCCCATGATTTCCAAACGACCAGAGCACCTTCGAATGAATCTATGACAGAGCAATGCTTTTACCGAATTTAAGGCAAAAAAAAAAAAAAAAAAAAAAAAGGTGGGGAGGAGATACATGAGCTTCCTGCAAGGTGAAATAAGAAGATTCAAACTGACAGTCTCAAAGAGTCAAAGAGTCAATCTGTTACATAGAACACTTTGGACAGAGGAAGAATAAAACATGGATTTTAAAAAATCAATGGTGCAAAAAAAAAAAAAACTAAGCAAAATAGTATTGTGGAACTCTTAGGCACATCAGTTAATTGATTCTAAGCGACATCTTCTCAACCTTACCAAGGATTTTCTTGTTGATGGGTCAAAACTGACAGTATTAAAGACAGGATGTTGCTTCTGAATCACTGTTAACATTTGGATTGTGTCGAAGAAGGGTTATCTTTCATTAGGCAAAGTATGAAATTGCCTGTCATACTTGCAACTAAGGACAATTTAGCATGCAAGCTTGGTCAAACTTTTTCCAGCAACATGGAATCAAAGACAAAAGAAACTTGTCAATTGATGTTTTACGTGCAAACAACCTGAATCTTTTTTTTATATAAATATATATTTTTCAAATAGATTTTTGATTCAGCTCATTATGGAAAATATCCCAACTTTAAAATGCGAAATTATTGGTTGGTGTGAAGAAAGCCAGACAACTTTCTGTTACTTCTTTTGGTGAAATAATAAAAATACAAATGAATCATTGTTAACCACAGCTGTGGCTCGTTTGAAGGGTTGGGTGGACTTGGGGTTTATTTTCAGTAACCCAACTGCAATACCTGTCTAATACTTGGGGGAAAAAAAGAATCTATTTGGTCATTTCTACTTGGAGTACTGTTACATGCTAAGCTTAACTGGAAGCCTTGGAAATAGGCATAAGTTGTATGTCCTTCATTTCATCCTTGTTCTGGGCCTGCAGTGCACTGGAAAAATATTGCCACCTGTTCTTATACCAGTATTTGGTTCAAGACAACAACCAAATGTGTTCAGCCTATGGCTGAAGGAGGACAGAAGAGTCAGGATAAAATGTATACTGAGGGCGGCAAAATAAGGGACTTGGGAAGATCCAGGGGAAGAGGGTGTTGCCATGGTCCACTCTCTGTGACTAATCTCTTTACAGCAGATTGGTAAGGTTTTAAGTTTTGCTTCTTTTTACTGTTTTTGCTGTCTACCTTCCTTACATTTTTTTCCTCAGCAGTTTTCAAAGGAAAAAAGGTATAATTTGTTTCTCCTATACCGGGGCTACATTTTTTGATTGTAAAAATATTTGATGGCCTTTTGATGAATGTCTTCCACAGTAAATACAAAAACTTAGTGACTTAATTTAGGAAATAAGTTATCAAGACTGTGTTTTTGAAATTGTAACAAAATTACATAAGTGATTTATAGGTACAAAGAATAAAATAGGTAACTTTACCTTTCTTAAATACTTCCTGCCTTAAAGAGAGCATTTCCATGACTTTAGCTGGTGAAAGGGTTTACTATCTGCAGAGCTTTATAAAAAAAATTACTTCAGTGCAAACTGGTATAATAGATGATCATGCAGTTGCAGTTGCGTCTTACCACCTCTTTTTGTTTTTTATAATGTCTTCAGTCTGAGTGTGCAAAGTCAGTTTGTAGTATTTTGCAACCCTATGATTTTAAAAATAGATGCTGCTTGCTGTATTTTCCAAACTTTGAGCCATAGGATCCAAGCCATAAAATTCTTTATGCATGTTGAATTCAGTCAGAAGAGAGCAAAGCTTTGCTTATTTAAATGGCAGTTCAAGTGAGATGAGTTGAAATCCTATGACATTAGGCAAAAATCGAACCACAAAAACTTATTGGAAATATAGCTTGAATTGTGGCAATAAATGAAAGAGTTGGTAACAGTTCATCTCTGGACAGAAAAGCACCCTCCCTCCTTTTTTTCCTTAGAATCATTCCTTGTAGGCTCCCTCCTCCTCTATTGCAGCAGCTTGTTGAGAATTCTGTGACTATAGGTAGTAACTTAGAAGCTACAATAATACGGGCAGAAATTATACTTAAAAGTGCAGAAATTTGTTTTATAAGTTTATGATGTCTGATAAAACAGAACCCAAAAAACTATGGTGACATGTATAGACTTTATTTAAGGCTGTAAATGACTTGTACTGATACTTCTTTTCAAATGTGTTTATTAACTGTAGTGTTAACTGTCTGACCAAATTCCAGCTAAATTTTGACACCAAAATGTTTCTCCTCAGTCTTAGTAACATTTGCACTGTGATTGGCTGGCTATAACCACCCTATAGTTAAACCATTTTCATTAGCACTGCCAGCAATAGTGGCAAACATTGCAACTTTCCTGCATAAAAAGCATTAATTGCACACCTACCATCCACACAATTAAGAGTTTTTCCAACTTTGCAGTAAGAATTTAATTTACTATGCTGTGGCAAGTTTGAGAAATTATGTTTCATAAATGGATATCCCTACTACTATGACTGTGAAAACATGTCAAGTGCCACATTAGTGTCACAGACAGAAAGCACACACCTATGCAATATGGCTTACCCTATATTTATTTGTAAAAATCCAACTATAGTTTTAAGATACACAATGTCAATATTAGTAGTCTTGAGTTTCTAAAAGGGTTCTTTATGATTATTCCAGGTAAGTGTATAAAAGAGACTGCTTTTCTTTTTACCATCACTTATTTTCTTTAAAATCAAGCTATTACAGGATATTTTTTTATTTTATACATGCTGTTTTTTAATTAAAGTATAATCACTGAAAACTAAAGTTTACTAATTTTGATTTTATAAGGTTCGTAGCATTACAGAATAAACTGGGATTTATAAACCAGCTGTGATTAACAATGTAAAGTATTAATTATTGAACTTGAACAGATTTTTAAGAAAATTATGTTCTTTTTGCCCTTTATGCTCTTAAATAATTTGCATCCTTCCAGAAGGATTTTTTCCATACTATTTTTCAAAATAGAACATAATTTGGGGGGGATGCATGTATGATACTCCATAAATTCAACATTCTTTACTATAGGTAATAAATTATTATAAATAAAATGCATCTTCAATAGTAGTAGTATACTGAACCTTGGATTTTATATTTATTATAGGATCTAACTATTTTGGTTACTCAGACATATGGTTCCTAGCTTATAAGGGCTAGATCTCAGATTATTCTCATGAGAAATGTTGAATTTATGAAGAGTGGATTTTGAAGCTTTGGAAATGGTTAATTTCTCAAACAAAAATAGCAATTTCCAAACCACTATCTTTTTTCCTTGGAGTAGACACTAGCAAGCTGAACAAAGCATTCGTAAAAGTATTTGTCACACATGACTTGTGGTCTCTTGCTGATAAAATTTTCTTGTGTGATTCTTAATTTACTACTACAGCACAAGTATTATCTCAGTGGATTATCTGAAGTAACATCTGAAAGATGGGTTCATTTGTGTTTGCTCTTTTTAAACTATTACTTTTCTCCTTCTCCGAGTTGGCTTTGCATTTGTCAGAGTAAAATTCTTCAGCTGCCTTATTAGGAGTGCTATGAGGGTAACAACTTTTCTGCTTTTCATCTGTACTTAGTTTACTGTATTATTTGATTTTGGATTGAATGAATGTAAATAGAAATTAAATGAAAATCTGAATGAACATAAAATAGAAGTGATTTTTTTTTATCCTAAGACAGGAAGAAATAACAGTGTAAATATTATATACACATATGGTTTCAATAATTTTCCTTAACATGCTAGATATGTTCAGATTCTCAGTTTTGATAAACTATATATGTGAGGAATCACAAATGTAAACTGTGCAGAGAAATTGAATCTACTTAAATATGTAACAAATTTTAGTACTGACTTCATATATTGGATGTTAATATGTCTGACTTCGAAGTTATCAGGTAGAATTGAAATGGTACATTCAAGAAAAAGTTTGTGACAGTTATCTTCAGGTGAAAACACTATGAAGACTTTCTTGTGCTGACAGTCAAATTAGGTCAGCCACACATTTCAAGTACATTTGATTTTATGTATGTACACAAAATAATGTAGTATACAAATCTATTATTTTAATATATTTAATGCAAGGTGTTTTTTGTATAAACCACTTATTACGAGCTAATTCTATCACACTTTCCAAGATGAATTCCCTATAGAGTTCTTAAAATAGTTATCTTTTCATAAGGTTAATAGCAGATCCTAATGCTGATGAGACAATCTTTCAGAGGGTGTGCTCTGAATTCAGAGAATGGGTTTTATAATCCCATTCTCAGGGAAAATAGGAGTAGAGAAATGCTTTCAGTTCATGAACATTATGTAGTGGATGGCACAGCTTTCCGATTACATTTCCCTCCTTTTGAATTTATAATGTGAACTGCATTTTTTTCTTAAGAAAACAAAAATAATGGTGATGGGTAGAAATCAGTGATATTATGATATAGTGTATACAGATGTTGAATTATGCTGTACAGCATTGTAATGCTATAGAACTTTTTTTTAGTATTATAAACCAATGCTATCTTAAAAAAAAGGTCCAAACAAAAAACTCATTGTTTCCTTCTTGGACCTCCTTTGTTATTAAGCCATATTAAGAAACAAAGCTAGCCGAATAACCAGACAGTAAGTAAGTAATGGTAAAGAGGTACTGCAGTAGGGCTGATACAACCCAAGTAGTAAGATGCTATTCTCATTTTCATGTTTTTAACAAGTTAGATCTTTTTTCCACACCCCAAGTATAATCTCAAATTGGCTTTCTTGCCCATCTCTTTGCTACATACCTCAATAACAGCTGTTAAGTTCATCACAAAGGAAGGAAGGTGATTTAAGGCCAAGTAGATTGTTTCAGCGTTTGCAATGGTTTGCAAACTAGACACTTAACAAATATCATCATCGAGTCAATAGATATTTATAACCAGACAATGTTTGGGTAATGTGGTTTGGGTAATGTTTAGTTGGGGGGAAAAGTTACAAGTTTTTTGATGTTCTCATCAATTTGGGTGGTCATATAAGCATGAAAGTGACTTAACCTGTAGCTGGTTGGTTAATACCCTTTAAATTTAGCCTGTAACACGGCATATTTGTTTTTCTACCTCTACCTCCTAATTTTTCCTTCCCACTATCTCTTTCTTGAGTACAAACTGATAGATGTTAAGAGAAAAAAATGAAAGGCTTTATTTATACTCTGTGCTTAAATATAACCAGCTCTCAGACTTCTGCTGCAGATTTTGCATGTGTTCTAAACTCCCAATTTCCCAAACTTAAAAGTTTCAAGGGGAGGCAGAAATATGCCTCACTCCCTTATCCACCACCACCTTTTGCACAGATTCCTAGAGGAAAACAAACCACATTACCCAAAGGTCTTGGATGCCTCCCAAGCAATGGTGATTCAAGAATTAGATTCCAAAACTTCTCTGGAAAAGAATAGTTATAAGAGAATTCTTTCTATGAGTTTAGGAGTTCGTTGCACTATTCAAATCATCAATGAGGCCAGCTGTTTGTAATCCATGTGAATTATTTTAATAGTTACTTTAAGACAGTTCATGGCACTATACAAAAAGCAAGATCATGACCATTAAAGCTGATGGCAGGATTTGTAATGTATGAAGTTCACAAACAAAATGAATTTATATCATCTATTCTCACTGATTGCTAACCACACTACAGAGAATAATATAGTATTAAAATATATCCTCAGCAAATGAATCTCCACTTAGAAAATCTGATTATTACAGGTAAAATATAGCTTTTGGACTTTAAAAATACAAATTTTATGAAAATTTTAAGAATTTTTAGATTGGGAATTATAAAAGTTGATGTTAAAGGAAATTCTTTCAGATAACATGTATCTTAAAATATGAAAAATACTCTTTATTCTGAAAACAGTGTCAGGAAAGAATACCTGAGTTCCTCTAAACCCACTAGATCTAGTTAACCAATTGCTGTTTTGGTGACATTAACAAGAAAATAAATTTACAACGTAACACTGTAATCACCTGTTAAATAATTCGGGTAGAACAAATGCTGCATGAAGTTGAACATTACAAATTTTTTAAATAAAGCGTCCTTTACACTTTTGATAAAGTATACACTTATGTCTTAACAATATTCTAAGACAGTTGAGAAACCTCTTTTCTTTTGTCTGAAATCCATTCTAGTCCTAATGATAACTGCAAGCAAATGAAAGTGCTTGTGGCCTTAACAGTTTAAACAACTTAATATATCTGAAGATGTGATGAAGTGGCTCCATCTTTCCATTTAGTTATATGGTCTGAAATCACAGTTCTGCACAGCGGACATGTTTTCTCTCTGTTAAACCATATGGTAATGCACTCTTCACAAAATATATGCTGTAAGGTAAATTAAGAACTAGATTTTATACATGGCAACATTTTAATTTAAACCCTCAACTGGGGTCTCCCTGGTGGTATAAGGATTAAGTCTCAGCTCTATCATCCCAACAGTCCACTGTGATGGCCTGAGTTGAATCCCCTCCCAGGTACAGCAGACCTCTCCTGTCTCTCCAAGTGCACTTCTTAGTAGTGTGTTTCAATTAACCTGCTCTGCGCCCCACTCTGTCTCTGGGGAATCTCCCTCTCTGCATCTCTGGTCTTTACCCCAGCTGTTCTATGTGAATATAAATAAAATCTTAAAGTTCTTAACTGTAGAGAATCGTACTCCTTAGAGCTGAAAGGAATTTTGGAGAGGACCTCTATTTAACAAATGAGATAACAGCAAGTTTGACATTTAAGAATACAGTGGTGTTATAGGTAAAGCTACCAGTGTTCTTTTGACTGGGCAATCTAACCACTTTTAATATTAGCTATCAAGGTGATAACATTAAGATTAAATATATTGACTTAATACTTTAAAGTCTGAGAGTAATTGCTATAAAGTATAGAGGGAAGGGTCTTACACAATTTAATAACAAATACTAGTAGTGTTTCTAAAAGACTATTAAAATTATTTTAAAAAGCCTGTTTTCCAAGCACACTGGCATTTAATCTACCATATTATTTTCCCCTTCATACAGTGCTTTGCATAAAAATCATTAGAACACAAGGAATAATATAGCTAATTCACAACTCCTAACACAAATAAGGAATTGCTATCTAGTATGTGTCCTGAATGCTACTTTCTGCTAGACACTGTAGTTTTTCCCCCTTATAACTAATATAAAAAAGCGCCTTGTGAAGTAACAGGGAAGTATTTATTATATTTAGGTTTCTTAAAAATATAATTACCTGGGCCCTCCCTGGTGGCGCAGCGGGTTAAAGCACAGCATTAAGGAGCTTAAGCCACTTCCGCCTGAGTTCGATCCCCACCTGCCCCTGAGGAGATCTACATGGCATGGCAGACCTCTCCTGACCCGCCCGCTGCTCCCCTCAGCAGTGTACTCCGTCGATCTGCCTGTTCTGCTCCCCACTCTATCTCTGGTGAATCCTCTCACCCTCCACATCTCTGGCCTGTACCCCAGTTCTGTGTGAATAAATAAATAAATCTTAAAAATATATATATATAATTACCTGACAGATGAGAAGAATCGGCTTTTGAAATTCAGCTTGACATATTGAACAAATATCATCCACATCCGAACACTGTCTCTTGCTGGCAGTTACTCCATAACTCTATGAAAGGAATAAGTTCTGTTTATCTAAAAATTTATTTCTTTCGTGTTCCTCAAATAATAGATGATGCTATATATCTCAATTCTCTTGGAAGTAGGCACTTGAAAACATTTCTAAAGGACACAAACATTTCAAAGCCAAACTACATCTGTAAAGCAACACCTAGATGGAATTACGAAGTGACATCATTAAAAGCATAACAGAATCTAGAAGATTATTAGGTTACTGGATTTCCAAATGATAGTGCTTTTTTTTTTTTAAGATTTATTTATTTACGCTTACAGAACTGGGTACAGGCCAGAGGTGGTATAGATGAGAGGATTCACCAGAGACAGAGTGGGGGATAGAACTGAAATACACTGCTGAGGGGAGCAGCAGGTGGGTCAGAAGAGGTCTGCCATGCCATATGAGTCAGCTCCCTGGGTGGGGATTGAAATTGTGCTGCAGTGGCTTCTGTTATCTTCATAGTGTGGTACTTTAACGGTTGCGCTACCAGGGAGAGCCCCCTAAATGATAGTGCTTTAAACTCAACAACCAATTTTCAAGTGGTTAAAAGACTAACAGTCTGAAATATTATTATAAGATCTATATTCATGCATTGTCAAACAGCCCAGTGATTGATTACTTATGGCAGTAGTTAACAGAAGTCAATCAGAACTTGGCTGGCTGAGTGTAACTCATGTAGAAAAACTGCTTTTAAAATAGATTCTGAGCTTCACACCAGAGATCAATAGATGCAGATATATACTGGGATATGACCCAGGAATCTTAATTTTTGGAATCCGCTCTCCTGGTAAGTATAATGTGAAGGTTTAGAAACGACTAAACAGTGGCGACTAAGTCTAAAAATGTTTATTGTCCTTAGTTACTGTAAAAGATCATTTAGTACCAGAAAAGAATAAGATTCTACAAAAGAAGTGTAAACTGAAAAATGTCACATGGATAGTGTACTGTCAAAACTGAACAATAATGTGAGTCTTTGAATTTCCTTTTCTTCTACTTTAAAAATTTTATGATCTCTTTAAGGTTTA